ATGGATTAAATTGATCAGAGAGATCAACAATGACAGCTATGTTATTTCAGTACTCCCTGAACACTTTGATAAATACCTCTTTGTCTCATTTAATAGTTGTGCCTCTATTACGTGTCCTGTTAGTGAAAGAATGATATTTTGCTAATAACGAAGAGACGGAAATAACGTGCATGTTATGTTGTTAAAATCCCTGTATTTGTTCAATACTGTTGAATACATTTGAGGATTAGATTGTATTACAAGGACTAGTGTGAAATATATTTGTAATTTGGACACAAGCTATTTTTTTGCATTTTGGTATTGGATTTTTAGACATTTGTATATGAAAAACATTTAAACCTATAAAGATAAAGTACCCCGAAATGCCGTTCACTATTGGTGATATGACTGAGGTTGAATTAAAGCGAGAAAACATTTTCATAACCATAAGAAAATCTCTCCCGACTAAATCATAAGCGTGTGTTAATAAATCACTATCAAATAGAAATCATACTAAGTGTTCATGACAAGCTGAACGTATCCTGCTCCACCGGTGGCACTCGTCACAATAACACTTGCAAAGGCAAGTCAGTTTTTTTTTTTTAAAAACCCATACGCTACAAGTCAACACACGGAATTACATCGTACATGATTTTTGTCACTGACATTTTTTTCACCGCCCATTGAGAATTTTTATTCTCTGGCGTTGACGTTGTATGTCTTTATTTAAAAATTTCCCATTTCTGGCTTGTGTAAGCATGTTTTTGGTCCCTCAGCGTTTATGGAATATTCAATTATTTATTGAATCTTCATAGTCGTCCACATGGAAAACGTTTGTATTACTAAAAGAGGTACAGTGTGGTTATGTCAGAGTAGATTACATAACAACGTAAAGGCTATTTTCATCATATGTATCTGTCATAATAAATAATAAAAAGTTGAGACACATTCGAAGATCCCATGACTTTCTGTAACGTTGAAGTATTGATACCAGGTCTACGGGAAACAGATGAGATTGTTCTGTTTGACCCGTAACGTACGAGTAAAGGACAAGGTAAAAATCAAAGTATGGTCTAGAAAACATCAAGGAGGTCAAATGATAATAAAGACGATGGTGATAACAATTTGGAAAGCATAATGTTAATTTCGCAGCTCCCCTTAGGGTGGATCTTAGAGAGTTGACATTTTTATATCAATAACATCAATAAACGAGAGGATTATCATTCAGTTATACCCTGTTGATTTGCAGTGTGTGCGTATGGTCAGAAGCGATTCTCCATCCAACTTAGGCTAGTAAATCTGACGAGACACGTCATCTTCTATCATCATGCGGTGTACAAGTCTGGGAATTCTAAACCAGGCCTTTCACTAATCCTTACAAACATATTTCCCCTGGAGAGGGTTAATATTGAACGGTTATGTGGGCCTTGTCTGTGCCTGACAGTGATGATGTGTTGGTGGCACTACAGGTGCATACATTTCACCAATACCAGTCCGTCTCGTACAATCCCCATTCTTACTGTCACCTCCTGGACCTGTCCACCTGTTTTTGAGAGGTTTCCAGGTGTGATGTTACTGCTTCAGTCTATGCCAGGTCTGGCGTCCTCTGTAACGTCTTTGTTGATAGGCACAGGAGTTATAGCAGCAACTTCTTGACCAGGGCTGCAGTGTGAACATAATTGCTTGTTGCGAATTCAGAATGTTAACGAGAAAATTCAGTCTCGAATATCTGATGATTCCATATATATCACACGACGACCATAAACACAGTTCCTAACATTAATAAATGACGCAGAGATCATATTCATATTTGAACATCATACGAATCGATCATTAGCTGTTTCTAACAACACTGATGTAACGTTTTCCCTTGTAGTGGCACACAGATTCTTTGGTACTGACGCCTGTCCTAAGACGGACAGAACACACCAGGATTCAAATTTCATAGAACCACACATTTTTCTTACAACTTATATTTAACCCTGAAAGACCTGGTTGAGTCATTCCAGATTTTTTAAGATAGACATTTAGAGTGAGTGAGTTGGGTTTAACGCTGCTTTTAACATTATTCCAGTTATATCACGGCGTGTCAGCTTAATGTGGGAGGGAAGCCCGAAGTGATGCAGGTTTCAGACGTTTACCACTTCAGTGAAACCCACGAGCACAGGTATGGTGCTGACAAACCTAGAAACATAATCGGGGTGAACCGGGATTAGAACCCACAATCATAGGTTTCTGGCGTGTCCAGGGGACGCAACGCTGCACAGCGAATCGCGGCGCCTTAGACGACTGGGCCACCCGTGCCCCCGATAGACATTTGGAGAAATTAACTAAATGTGACACATTGCTTGTAGACATCAAGGAGTGACATCAGTAGTTTAAGAAACCGATCCTTAAACATACAAACATCATGGATGTAAATAGTTCATGAATAATTTGTAGTGTCTTTTGTCCTTTAATGATGTGTTGCACAAATGTCTGATACACAAAAAGTCCAAATGTCAAAGATATGGCCTTACCTTTCGCAAACTTGAGCTAAATGTGTTTTATAACAGGCCAGTGTGGTGCAGCGCCGCAACTTTCTCAAATGAAACATCACTGTACGTCATTGAAATGTCACTGCAGGAAAGAAGGTTGATTAAATTATACCGTTTTTTTCATAATGAATAAATCCATATTTGGGTAATTATGTAAAATTTATTAAATACTATTCGTGTCACGTTTTGGTAAAACTATTACCATCGTGAGAGATTCCTCTATATGCCTCTATGGTAAAGTGTGAATGTTTTGAGGTCGTTAATAAGCGTGTCTATCGCGTGTCATCCCCATCTATTTTCAACTACACAGTGATCTAACCCGTGGTGTGTCCGCAGTATCCAATTCCCCAAGGCTACTTGACCAAACTAGCGTTTGAATCAAGGGACCCGTGAACATCTAGGATAGAATAGGTCTTTAGCAACCCATGCTTGCCGTAAGAGGCGACAAACGTGAAAAGCAACCCATGTGTAAAGAGGCGACTAACGGAGTCGGTTGGTCAGGCTCGCTGACTTAGTTGATGCATGTCATCATATCCCAATTGCGTGATTCGATGGTCATGATGTCAATCTCTGGATTGTCTAGTCCTGACTCGATTATTTACAGACAGACAGCCGTCATATAGCTGGAATATTGGTGAGTGCGGCATAAAACAACAAACAAACAAGGCTACTCAGCAAATCTAGCATTTGAACCCATTAGCAAAGGATCTGGGTACCTGACGGACTCAATTCTACAACCCTACACATCGTGATTGGGGGATTTATAGGTTTAGGGTGTGGAAGGGGGTGTTGGTGTGGGATGAAGTCTACCTGAACTTCGATGTTTCAGAAAAAATATTTGCATACATTAGATGACTACGTGTTTGGACAGAAATCCAGTAAGTGTTTCATGTCAACAGTTCTGCCATGAGGTAAATGAGGAGACGCCCCTGAACGCAGATTGCTGCACTTCTTTTGCACACTGCTAACGACCCGCCATGAAGGCTATACGCGGAGGTAATAGGGTCTGTTTCATATGAGCAGCAGAAGATAAGAGGATCAGCAGCAGACCGCCTCCGTGGTCTAGTGGTAGAGCGTCTGCCTGGAGAGCGGAAGGTCGGGGGGATTGACTCGGTTCGATTGTCATAAAGAGGCTAAAGCAAGGACAGGTCGACTCGGAGTCATTATACCGTGTCTGAAAAGGGTATTCATGTTACCCTGCGGCATAATATCTCAGTGGGCTAGCACTATAAAATCGGCATTAGTCCGGATTAGCACACACACACACACACACACACACACACACACACACACACACACGCACACACACAGCTATATTACTGCAATTCTCTTAAACGCGACGTTAAACCCCATTTCACCTCACCTCAGAAAGTATTAGGGTCTGTTTCACATCACCAGCAAACAGTAGTATTATTAGTTATGGTGCCGCTTAAAGTAAGAAGAAAAATATTGGGCTCGACACACGCAACGCCCAACATTTTTCTGCTAAGGTAATATGACAGCGTACATGGCAACTAAAGACACCATTACGAATTTATTATGCTGAAAAGTTTACACTATTTGGTATATTTATCGCACATGTCATGTCAAACTGAAAACTTGATACTTACAAGCGGTACAAATGACAGGACCAGTACAAATGTTTCCGACACAACGTTTTAATGTAAACACAAACGTTGACAATGGAATGTATAATACACTTAATGCGAATGTTTAAACATGTAATATAACTGAAATGGATAGAATTATCATAAAAATGCCCGCATGCTATCAGAAATCTGAAGGCCACTGGCACTGGAGAACAGCTGCTATTTCCTAACGACGGGCTGATATCTATTATATTGATGTATGATGTCATTGGCGTCACGTTTCTTGTTTGTGACGTAATCTATTTTATGTTCTATGACGTGGCTATTTCTAAATCAGTGATCTCCGCTTTTTTTCTCCATAATTCTTCTCGATAATTCTTTTTGACAAAGTCACGAACGTGGTTTCTTTAAAAAATAATGTCTTTGCACATCACAATTAATGACATTAAAAGACAAAACAGTGTTGAATAACAAATTTCTATGTGATATATGTGAGGTGGGTATGTGAAAATTCACAATGGCTGTTACTGACGGTATAAGGTCACATATAAGGTCAGTAAGAACCATCTTGGATTTATGGGGTTATTAGTTCTCTGGTCAATCTCACTTTGAGGCGTAATAAGGTCTGTTTCACATCAAGAGCAGAAAGTAATAGAGTGAGTGAATGAATGTTGTTTTATGCGGCTTTTACCAATATTCCACAACATCATGAAATGGGCTTAACACATTGTACCAATATGGGAAATCAAACGCGTGTGTTTAATTTTGTGTCACATGTACACATATAGAGATCGCATGTATCACTTCTCACATACACCGTGATACATAGCTTGAAACTTGGTATTCAGACATTGATTATCATATATATATATATATATATATATATATATATATATATATATATATATATATATATTGGAAATTGTTATTCACACCCGGGTCGATACATATGCAGCTTGGAACTGGGAAAACACATCCTGAGTGCAATATATGTTGCTTGGATCTTGGTATTCACACATTGATCGTTACACATGTAGCATGGAACTTTGTAGTCACTCTTGCTCCGCTGTATTTTTTCCACCTTCATAATCTGAAACAGATGGACAGTTAGGGATGTAAATATACATCGCCCTCAATATGGTCAGGATTGGTTGCAAGTTGGAGATTCTGGGGAAGAATTGGTCTTCGGCAACCCATGCTTCCCCTAAAAAGCGACTATGCTTGTCTAACGGGATCGGGTGGTCAGGCTCGCTGACTTGGTTGATGCATGTCATCGATCCCAATTACGTGGATCGATGCTCACTTGATTGTCTGGTCCAGACTCGATTAGTTACAGACCGCCGTCATATAGCTGGAATATTGCTGAGTGCGGCGTTAAACAACAAACCAACCAACCATCCAAGGTATAGTGGATAGAGCGGCTGCCTGGGGAGAGTTGTTCGATCCAAGGAGGTGTCATACCAAAAGACGTTAAAAGATGGTACCCGCTGTTGTGCTGTCTGGCGTTCAGCATTTAGGGGACAAAACAAGGAGTTGTCGGCTCGGATTGAGAATACTGTGTCTGAGTGGGATGTCCATGTTAAACTGTGACAAGGTAAGTTACTATATGAGTGCAATAGTGTTGAACATGACCTTAAACTCATCTCAGAAATATTTCTCTTCGCGAAGCTTTTACATTTATGAACAAAACAAGTAATATTAATCTTGGTCAGTTAAAGTAGGAGACACATGTTATTGTCCCTTTACCTTTGCAAACTCCACCGGCCCCTTGGTTTTGGTAGACAGATTCCTTTTCAACCACACCAATCGGCTCTGAAGATTCTACAAAAAAAGGTTATCAATACTAGGTTTTTGTCAAGCTACGTTTAGCATAATGAAAAACGAGGCTTTCCCAATCATTGTTTGTTTGTTTTGTTTGTTTGTTGTTTAACGCCGCACTCCGCAATATTCCAGCTATATGGCGGCGGTCTGTAAAATGATCGAGTCTGGACCAGACAATCCAGTGATTGCCATCATGAGCATCGATCTACGAAATTGGGATCGATGACATGCATCAACCAAGTTAGCGAGCCTGACCACCCGATCCCGTTAGTCGCCTTTTACGACAAGCATAGTCGCCTTTTACGGCAAGTATTGGTTGCTCAAGACCTATTCTACCCCGGACTCTTCACGGATCTTCCCAATCATTGAAAATAAGACATAGGCATATATTATGGCGATATTTAACATCAGTCAAACAAACTAGCCACCCACTACGATTTTTGTAAACAAAAGATCCGCTTTTTGTATAGAGAAAACAATACAGTGCATACAAAAACCATGAATTTTCAAAGTTTGGTTGATGGCGTTTGGCGTTGTTCGTAATATCACTAACAGGAGTGTCTGGTCCAGCTTCGAATGTTTACAGGCTGTCGTCATATAGCTTGAACATTGCTGAGGGAGACGTTAAACACACAAGTACCTCTTTCCTATACCACCACAGCACCTCAAGAAATATGTCAACATGAACAAGTTAAACTAACAACCTTTATTGGTGCTTGCCATGTCGAGTTTCTCATATTCGTTATTCCGAGGGGCATCGTCATCAAGGCTTGCATAGGCTCCATCTTCAAATACATTAATTGAATGCATCAGTAAATTAATATTATCATAAAATTACTCGAAAGATAGAATAACATTATGACCAATATAATATATATTACTAATGTCCCGTAATGTCTTCATGGAAATTACTGCGAAAGATAGAACTTTGTGTGATCACTAATATCTTCTGGAACACATTTAGTTTTCATGACTATTGATGTCCACGGGTGCTATTTAACCTACTTGTATGTGTGCTTATAATAGGTATACAGGATTATTACCATTTTAAAACCTCAAATATAGTTAGATTGCTGGCTACAGTGTTAACTTAAAGTATACTTGTGTGTAATCTGGAGGAGTATATGTGTATAATGAGATGACAGACTAACAATCTAACTACTAGTATATAGTGTTGATAGTTTTATGATGGACACTGATGAAGTTACCTTGGTTGGATGTTCCGTATCTGGAACAAACCATAGAATGTAACGTCAGAATAACCGTGGTTCAATACAGTGAGTAAGCGAGTTAATGTTAACAGTCACATCGGTTCAATACACTTCACAAAGACAACAAAATCTCGTCTGGAAATATTTAAGGAAAATGATATCAGTGATTGTTAAAAGTGTTCTGCTCGTCTACTGAAAAGCGAGTTTGAGTTTGTCCAATTGTGTGAGAATGTTGCACGTCCATATATTTGATGACATGACGTAGCTTCTGATGTTTGACACAGATTGTTTCCTTTCGGGAACACCTGTTGTCATCACTGATTTTCGGTAATCAGTCATAAATAAACAAGGGGCGGTCGGGTAGCCCTGTTGTTAAAAGGTTCGCTCGTCGCGCCGAGGACCCGGGTTCGATTCCCAACATGGGTACAATGTGTGAGTGAGTGAGTGAGTGAGTTAATATTTAAAGTCACATCGGCACTATTTCACCTATATCGTGACTTGATCAAGTTAAACATTTAAATTATATATAAAAACCTGTCGCCGAAGGACAGTAAAACAATTAGCAATATATCACAGATTATAATTTTAAAAACTAATTTTAGAGCAATAAAATGATCAAATTATATCAGACGACAGTATAAAAACGGGCTGTAGATCGCCAGCAACCAAAGTTCGGCCACCATACTAGGGACCATGGGGACTTACGGTACTTCTGCTACCTACATGGTCCCCAGCAGGATTGACACCATCCCTCGGGCTACAATGTTTGAAGCTCATTTCTGGTGTTCCTCGCTGTGATTTTGCTGGAATTTTGCTAAAAGCAGCGTAAAAGCACTCACTCACTCACTTATTCATAAACATGTTCACCATTATTTTACATTTTACGCCAAATTGAAACTGTTTCTGCAGATAACGGAGACTGTTAATTCTCTGGCGTTGACGCTTTCTACTTGTTTGATAAATTACCTTAAAGAGATATTGTGAATCTTACCCTTGTGACTGTATTTCAATGCTTTCTGTTTGATCTGGAAGTGGAGCATGAAGTCTTATCATTAATTCATGTAATCTTAAATATGTGTTTATAACATTTACATAAAACTGTGTTTGTTTTGAAAGAGCAGTATGGGTTCCAAGTCATCAGATAATAAAATTACTTAACGGATGGAAAATCAAAGTAACACGCGGCCTAAATACGTCACAATAGAATATACTGTACCTCGCAAAACAAACAGTTGGGTAAACACTATACTGCCCTGCATTGTCCACGTGTTACGCAGAGCCTATACGCTACAAGGATACGCTCACCTTTTCACATACACCTGGTATCATCACTATTTGATGGTGATTCATAAACACATGGTCATAATATAGTCGGAATCGTACAATCGACTCTGCTCTATGCAGATATTTCTATATGATATGGAAAGGGTTTTAATGCTTTATTGACTTTCTACCTTTACCACTTATCACGTAACCAGTTGAAGTATTTACAGTAACTACTGAAGGTACGTAGGCTTCTGCTTAACTAAACACATATGGGTACAAGTCACATAATTACCTTTGTTAACCGTGTCAATGTGTTCATGGTTTCGTCGCCACATCAATACAATGATAACAACTAAGACAAGTACCACAGGCAGCAAAACTCCAACTCCAATTCCAATCCCATGTCCGAGTCGATCTTGTTGTGACTGACCAGTAGCACTGCCTGGAACAGTGGGGTGACATGTGCATACACAATTCCAAAAGTATGTACATTAGGGTTCAACTAGGCCCTAGCCAAAGGCAGATACACAGCACAACCAAATTCATGTGTACACAAACACGGAAGTGAGGTGTAGTCTTGTAACTGAAGCATTCGCTTGTCACTCTCAAGACCCAGTGTCGCTTGCCACATGAGTACTAGAGTGAAGTCTTATTCTGATGTCCTCCTCGGTCATATAGCCAGAATATTGCTTCAAGTTGCGTGAAACCATATTCACTCACTCACTCTTAAGTAACAAAGACAATTGGTAATATTTTTCTGTGACATGCATATGTGCCACATGACAATGTTGTCCTTTTCCTGCTCAGAAAATAGACATGAAAAGAATTAATACTACCTGAAACTCACTTGCTGGTGAAAGTCTGTATAGCAGTGTACTTTCCCCATAGGAGTTGTTCATCCTCAGTGCATATGTCCCGTAGTCCCTTGAGTGTACAATCCTGACAATAAGGACTGTCTGTAAGTCTGAGCTGAATACAGTGTAGTCGGTAGCGTCGTCTATATTCTCCAGGTGCCCGCTGTCATATCTCCACCAGGTGAAATGTGGCAACGGGTTGGCTGCAGCTGTAGCCATCATGGCAGCTGTGTCGTTGATTTGTCGAATTATTGTTGGACTAAAATCCTTCTGCATATCTCGTTTTGGACGATCTGATCAAATGTAAAAGATCTATGTTTATAATTACAGGAAAATGGAAGAATTTTATTGTTTGAATTTATTATCTTTAATAATTTCATAATATCAAGAATTCTTTTTCTAATCTCTTATTCATCTGTATGATACGTGTTCAGTGAAATTCTGCTGATTATCACTGACATGGACATGCAAGGAGTTCTGTCTCTTTTCAGCTGTCACTTCAAATACAAAATTACCTGCAGAAGATAACTGTACAGAAGTTTCATCAATAAATATTGTTATCGATTGTCCATGCTCACCATTTCACGGACACCTGGTGTCATCACTATATTTGACAGTAACTAGCATGATTTTGAAATTGTCAGAATCTGAATTGACTTTGTTTTTTGCAGATATTCTTATGACTACGGAAATGGCTTTGTGGCTATTATATACTCACACTACACTTGAATAATGGATATTTTGAACTGGACTCTAACGTATACATTATAGTCCTGTTGAGACCGCGTGGACTACAGATATTGCAACGTAGTAATTACTCACACTGTACATTGATGTTGACCTGGGATGTGTCAGACAGTCCAGCAGTGTTGGTTGCAGTACAGGTGTACATCCCTCCCTGGTTCCTGTTGACAAGCCTGTCTAGTACAGCCCCATCCTTGCTGTACCATCCTGGACCTGTCCACCTGTAGCGTGTTGTTGAGGGATTGCCGGATGAGATGTTACTGCTGCAGTCAATGTAAGGACTAGCGTTTTCTATCACGTTGTTATCAGGCGGCAGATAGGCTATTGCTGGAGCATCTGTGTAGGTAGCGATAGGGATTAGTTTGTTCTTAAAGTATAAAACATCAACGCCGGAGAAGAATCGGCCTCGATTATCCGCCGAAACAGCTTTCATTGGGCGTGTAAGGCAAAATAGTGGTGAAAGTTACATGAATGGATTACTGAAAATCAGTGATAACACCAGGTGTTCGCGAAAAGGGTAAGCACGTGTAAGCACTGATCTCTGTACGGGAACGCTGCCTTAATGGCAATAGGAGAAATATGTTCCATGTGCCTGTTGCAATAGGGCCACAGCTGCATTAAATGGGAACTCGGCGTGGGTAGATTGGTAGATCAAGCATTAATCTACGAGCTCAAAATGTATGATGTTTATCATTCTAAGAATCTCCCAGCTCCAGTTTGACTAACCGCGAGAACTAAACTTAAACAGGTGTTTAGTTTGGCGAGTGAACGCTGTAACAACTAGGCCCCTGACTACTGACAAAGAACAGAGGCTAATTCCATCAAAGTATCGACTGTCATGTATATTTTCCTGTGATGCTTAACACTGTAAAAGCATAGCACATTTTCAATGAAAGTTGTCGCGTTACTAAATGTATTCAAGATGACACTCTAATGTATTGTGAGTAACTGTGGTACTTACAGTGAATATCAATGTTGACCTGGGCTGTGTCTGACAGCCCTGCAGTGTTGGTGGCAGTACAGGTGTACACCCCTCCCTGGTTCCTGTTGACAAGCCTGTCTAGTACAGCCCCATCCTTGCTGTACCCTCCTGGACCTGTCCACCTGTAGTTAGTCCTTGAGGGGTTGCCGGGTGTGATGTTACTGCTACAATCTATGTCAGGACCAGCGTTCTCTATCACGTTCTTGTTAGTAGGTACGGAGGTTATTGATGGGGCGTCTGGAGGCAATAGATTTCACATTTTTGGAATATGAAACGCCAATACCAGAGAATAATCTGTATCGATTATCAGCCGAAACGTATTCAATTCGGCGCAAGAGGCAAACACCGATAAAGCATGTCCCGCCCCACCGGTCACCCACACAATTCTCATAGAAAAGTTCGTTGTTAGAGCAATACATGTATAACATCATTGTGATGTAGCCTATATATGTCAAACAATATATTTAACTATACACTATATACATCAGTAGGAATTATAAATTCTTATCTTAATAATGTAATAAGCCAACACCTTTAACTATATACTGAAACATTTATACAACTGAGGATATAAAACAGGTATCAAGACATGGACATCAGTACCCATGTCACTTGATTTATGTTATTAGTGATTTCAGACATATGGCACTTACCAAGAGTTTGGTGTATCTAAAGAAAACTGTACAGAATAATGACAACTAATTACTCAACTTTACCTAAACAAAAACAAACCCCCAATAGCATCTCAACACTCTGGAAAATAAAGATTATGACGTTTGATACAGTGGTGGAAACCATAATCAGAGATTTTCGATGTGTCTGGGATTTGAACACGCAATCAATGGATCATCGCAAAACTAAGGAACTCATACCTGCATAGCGACTTCCGGCGCCTGAGACTACTGGGCATCTCGTTGGGTGTTTTGAACAGTTACATTTAAAAGTAGTTACAGACACTGCTAACATCAATGTCTTGAGATAATCGTCTCTGGTGTATGAAAACACCAACCAAAACAGAAACACAAAATTCATACATAACAGACGCTCTTGAATCATCGCAAATTTACCTTTACATCAGATATCAGTCGTCCCACGTCGGGATCACAATAGTGCTTGAAGGAACGCGGTCGTACGTGAGTAAAAGCATGCTTACACTGAACGGTTACATTGACTTGATAAGTGTCCGACAGTCCAGCAGTGTTGGTGGCGGTACAGGTGTACATCCCTCCCTGGTTCCTGTTGACAAGCCTGACAAGTACAACCCCGTCCTTGCTGTACCCTCCTGGACCTGTCCACTTGAAGCTTGTTGTTGAGGGGTTGCCGTATGTTATGTTCCTGCTGCAGTCTATACCAGGACTGGCGTTCTCTATTACTTGTTTGAATGTGGGAACTGAGGTAATACCTGGCCCATCTATGTTTCAACAATAAAGAATCGTGGTACGGAATGAAACACTGAACGTATATGATTGTATGTGTATGTAGCAGATGACAAATATACAAATACCATACATATAGAAAACCCAGTTTACGAATTACCTGCCATTAACGAGGTACTGTTCTTTTGTTCAACAGTTGTGGACTTGTGAAATTCTGATGAATAAAACAACCCTGTCAAAATTGTGATGATCTCCGACAATTTGCTTGAGATTGTGAAGACCTGTTGTGGTGGCGCTAGCAAACAAATATTTAAGTTGAATGCCTTCAATCAAAGCGCTTAACGTGGAAGGACATGTTCAACTGAATGCAGTCTGAATTTTAGGCACTGTTTAAGGGTGCTTGTATTAAAATATAATGTATCATTCAAGATAATTGTTTTGTCATTGTAAAACACGTTATGATTAAAAATACACGATTAATTCAACAAACTGTTTGAACATGATAATATACATGGTTGCTGTTTTCTACTATACCAATCCCAGACTGAGTGCTTTCAGCATTCCCGTATTTGTCTGTATATAGTCACTTCATCTAGCTTTACTCATATTCGTGTCGTTACCACAGACACCCGTTCTTTTTTGTACATACGTTTGATATACTTACATAGCACATCCAGGCTAATGGTTTCACTGTTAATGCCTTGGTGCTGACACCTCCAGATATCACCATCATCTGTACTGACTGATGTGATATTTAAGAAGAACACCCTGGTCTGTCCACTCACACACTCACAGGTGTACCCAGGAAGATTGTTGAACTGGCTGCAGGTACCAGCATTGACAATACAAGGAGTGAATGACACCCCTGTCCCTCTTATAAAGTACAGTCCTCCTTGTAAGGAGCCACTACCAGTGACGGTACAGGTAAACTGAAAGGTCTCATTCCTGACAGCAGAGGAGGACAAACCTTGTAGCCTCAATGTCTGACCTGAAATTGCACAGATAGAGTTATAAATTGTTCAGGTCATGGTTCGTGATCCTTTTACGAAAGTCTGTACCGCAGCTAGACGTGAAACTATGAGCACGTACCTTTCACGTGGGTTATCCATAATCCCGAATACAACAGTATCATCAGAAGGAATGAAATCATACATATTCTCATTATAACTGCAAACCTCAGTGGCTACATGTATGTGACTTTTATAACGTGTTTAAAGTGGTGTAAGAAATGCTGTTCACTGCGACAGCTATTTACGTGCCCCTTCCAGGGACAAAGAAATGCGGTTGAGATGTAGGCCAGCTATATCTTGTACAACGGGTCGGGTGTATATTGCGCATTCACCCACGAATGTATTCACATTGTGAAATAGACAGCTAGTTTGACACGCGATATGACCAGCTTTCAACGATATGCGTTAAGCTAGTTCAGACGCCCGTATTACTCTAAGGAAGTACAATGCACCTTGTAAGAAGCCACTGCCGGTGACGGTACAGGTAAACTGAAAGGTCTCATTCCTGACAGCAGAGGAGGCGAACCTTGTAGTATCACTGTTTGACCTGAAATTGCACAGGTTGGGGTAAATATTGTTCAGACTATTGTTCGCGATACTTCACAGTAGATGGAGTGGAAACAGTGAGTACATACCTTTCACGTGAGTTATCCTTAATGTAGAGTGAAGCACTATAACCAGAAGGAATGAAATCATATGTGTTTCCATCATAACAGCAAGTCTTAATGTCTACATACATGGGACATATGTAACGTGTTGAAACTGCTGCGGGTAACTGCGATAGCTATTTACTTCCTCCTTCCGGGGACAAGGAAGTACGTTGTGTTATCTAGGTATGGTATACCGTGTACAATGGGTCGGGTGTGTATGACGCATTTACCCTTGAACGTATATAAATGATAAACATATATATACATTGCATGCGATATGACCAGTTTAAAACGGTATGCGATAAACTTTCCCAGACAATCACACTAACCAATCTGTGTGTGTGTGTGTGTGTGTGTGGGTGTGTGTGTGTGTGTGTGTGTCGCCTGTAGAAATCTAGCAGCAGTTAAGTGAAATCAGTAGGATACAGATATGCATGAAATAATCTCTTTATTGTCCATTAGAGGTCCTGCGTACCGAGCAATTTGGCGATGTTAAGCAACGTTGGTCTCTAGATCGGAAAGAACGATTAGACATACGAATCGATCATGTTCATCAGAATAATAAATAAAAGTTGGTTGATCAATGTTACAACATTCAAGACCTTAGTAAAGCTTTTAAAAGGTGCGATGGTAGAGATGTAGAGTATATTGTTTATTTAAAAGAGAGGTGGCAGTACAGCAATGTCATGCTTCCGCAAAACGCCTGTTCCAACACGCACACACACACACACACACACACACACACACACACACACACACACACACACACACACACACACACACACACACACACACACACACACACACACACACACACATACACACACACATTTATATTTCTGGCTTGTGTAAACATGTTTTTTGGCCCTCAGCGTTTATGGAATATCCAATTATTTATTGAATCTTCATAGTCGTCTCCGCGGAAAACGTTTGTGTTACTAAAAGTGGTACAGTGTGGTTAGGTCAGAGTAGATTATATAACAACGTCAAGGCTATTTTCGTCATATTTATCTGTCATTATAAGTAATAACAAGTGGATCGTTGAAGTATTGATAGCAGGTCTATGGGATATAGGTGAAATTGTTATGTTTGCCCATAAACGCACGAGTAATGGTCAAGGTAAAAACAGAATATGCTCTAGAAAACACCAAGAAGATCAAATGATAATAAAGACGATGATAATGACAATTTGGAAAACCTAATGTTAATTTCGCAGCTCCTCTCACAATTGAAAGACGAATCCATATTTGGGCAATTATGTTAAATATGTTAAATACTATTCATGTCACGTTTTTGCAAAACTGTTACCATCGTGAGAGATCCCCTATATGCCGCTATGGTAATGTGTGAATGTAAATAAGCAAAAAATATCAACCCCTTCTTTCTTCAATTTTACAGTCCTGTAGCCCGTGGGATGTCTGCAGCACAACAAGCCTACGTGACAGCATTTGAACTCATTACCAACGGATCAGGGTACGTGACGAACTCAACTCTACAACCCTAAACATCGTGATTTTGGGATTTTTAGGTTTGGGTTGTGGGAGGGTGTGTGTTGGAGAAGTGGGGTATAGGCAGGAGCAGAGGTTTGGGATTGGGAATCCGGTTGAAGGACCCCTGTTTTGACACACAACTGGACAAACGACACACTAAAGGTTTTGACAATGTTATTTTTGAAACTGCAGCTGTTTACTGAGTCAAATTTGCAGCCATGTACTCTTCATGGACCTCGATTATTTTTAAAAGTCTACACACATAAGTTGAAACGTGTTTGGAAAAGAAATCCAAGTATGTCATGACAACAGTTCTGCCGTGAAGTAAACGAGGAGACTCCATTGAACGAAGCATACTTCTATTCTTGCACACTGCTAACGACCCGCCATGAAGCCGATACGTGGAGGTGATGGGGTCTGTTTCTTAAAAGCAGCAGAAGGTAATAGGGTCTGTTTCATTTAAGCAGGCGAAGGTTGGAGGGTCGTTTCAAGTCAGTAGCATACTGTCGCTTCATGTCAGCAGCATGGTCTCCGTGGTCTAGTGGTAGAGTGCCCGCCCTTAGAGCGGAAGATCGGGATTTGATCCCTGGCCGTGT